TTTATTTTTACATTTTGAATTAGAGGCAGCCAGCTTGTCCCTTATAGAATGAAGATTATCCATATATTTGCATAAACAAATAGCTTGTCCAATATCATATTGGCCAATTTTACCTAGGAGAGTATTATGTAAAGAGTGTATGAATGCCAGGATTAATAAAGACTGCATGAACAGAACCATCGCTTGGGTTTTGCGAAATTGTTTTTGCATCTCATAAATCCATAAAAATTTCCATTCATTAATTTTATGAATATATGTGATTTTATAATCAGATATTATCTTGTGAGAAACAGGTCGCTTATTATTATATCTTTTTTCAAAATGAAGAAGCCACAAATCAAGTTTATCAGTATATACTGGATGAGGTCGAAGACGAAGCGGCAGAGTCGGTCACGATGGGTAACCACAATTTCTGAAACCATTCCGCGACTTGTCTGTTCCAATAAGGTCTTAAGTCTTGGTCGTTTGAAGTTGACACCCGATCCAATATCGCTGATGAGTTCATAGGTTGGAAATCGGGAGTTGAGAGTTATTTCTGCCGTTCAAGATCCTCTTTTTGCTTAAGAGACCCGAGCATAGAGGAACCCTTTTTTGTTGGTGGTGGTGGTGGTGACGGCGGCGTTGTTATCGACATATTGTGAAGTCAACTCTGGAAAAATAGATGATATGTTGTAAAGACGAGTACCAGAAGGAGACGTTTTAGCTGTAATCTTTCCTTGCTTTAAGCATCGACGCAGGGTGTCTGATGAGATACCAGGAGCTAATATTGACAATATTTATAATACGATACCAGTGACAGACTAAATAAAATATGAAAAGTATTTTGGTATCTGAAACTATTAAAAATTATTAAAAGAAAGGGAAGGAAAGAAAGAATAGAGTAATATAAATATTAAATTTTTGTATTCATATTATTCATATTTATATACTGTAATTTGGTGTGATATAGTTTACGATTTTTGATTTGAATCTTATGTATATATTATTTTCATTGATAAGCATTACTAAGCAATTATTGCAACGGTATTACTAAGCATTTATTCAAATTTAACAGGTTTTACAATTAACAAATTCTAACGTTGCTTTTTAATAGACAAAAGCATTAAACTCTAACGATCGCTAAATCAATAACCATATGACTTTTCTGGAATAAAGGACCTAACCATCAATCAAATTCGCGGATACAACACGAGTTTCGGATAATTATATAAAGGACAATTTTGTACACAATTACAGTATATAAATTAGAGCTTTTAAGCATACTTATTTGACCTTACAAGATAATCTATTAGAGAAATTTTTGGATAATTTATTGGAAAAATTAAAGAAATTATTATTAGACATCACAAAGGTACATCGAAAATGGAAATCGTAACATTAGCTTATACTGATTGTTACTTATATTGGATGGATACGTATTCATCATTTTGTTTCACTATTAGAATTAATTCTATTCCATCAATTATATACCATGGATTTTACACAATGTCAAGAAGTCGTATGGCTTGATAGTTTACCTTAGTTAAAGAAATCTGAAATATCCAGATTCATCAAAAAAATATTACGAGACATTATCAAAGAACAAATTTTTAATTTCTCGAAGAGAGCAAATGCCGTTTTAAAAAGGAGAAGTGGAAGGAGGTTTAATGAGATTTAACGTACAAATTTTGTATTTAATCGTTCGATGACTGAATTCTCTTATTTAATTAACAGTAAATTGTATAGTGATTGTCATAAACATCCGAAATTCAACCTTATTATTTCGGCAAGAATCCTGTCGACTCAAAATATGCGTCTTTGATTTTGGTAGTAGATAATTTGAAGAGTAATTTCTGCGACTAGTTGTTGATGTTGCCAATTCGTCAAAAGAAGTTGGGAATGATACTTCTTCGTCAAATGGTGGAAGTAATGGTACCGGAATCCGTATTGAAGAAATAGTTAGCGTTGTTGTATTGGGAATTTTGACGTCATTTGTTTTGCCGTTCTTTTAATTCCAATTCGTCATACAGTTATATCTCCATGGGTTCTGAGCTATATCTCCAATATTGAGCAAAACAAATTTTTATTTGTTTTGGGTTATTATTCCATAGCCAGTCACTGAACTCAAATTTCAAATTTCCTAATTTAGATTTTACATGTATCATCTAATTAGTCTAGTTCATCATAGTGCTGCTTCTGCAAGCTGTTAAAAATTTTCCAGTTGGCTGAGCTTATTTTTTGTGAGCTGAGCCGGGCTCAGCTCCAAGAAAGGAAAATTATCGTTATCAAAAGATATGCTAAAAATGAACTTTATGCTATTATAGGCTAAAAACATTTCAAAAAAATGATTGTTTATCGGACAAATATTGCTAATGTTTGCATTGTTTTAAATCATTTTTCTTCGTATTATTATTTGTAACGTATTATTATCATTATTATTCTAATGCATTATTGTTATATATGTACAGTATTATCATTCTTAATGATCATTTTTATAACATATTATTTGTATTGCATTATTATTCTTAACGCATCATAGGACATATTCGTAATGAATTATAAAAAGAACTATATAATAATAAATTGTATTGATTGTTGACATAATGGCTGTGTGAAATAATTGGTGCATATTAATATCAAACTAATATAAAATGGCTATTTCACTAGATCAAAATGCTGTTCGAGCTCTAAAATATTACTTTTCTACTGAATTTATGCTTCATTGATACTAGTTTAATTATAAGAATAAAAATTTTTTTGAATAGTAAACTTACAGTGTGTAACAAAAAAAACTGGATATTTTAATTTTCTTCATAAATATTTATTTAAATAACATAAAAATTTAAATATATATAC